ACGCACCCGGTGTATGCAGCCGTCATGGGGCGCGCCACCGGCATGGCAAATTCACCACGTCGACAATCTTATGCAGCCAGCCACCAATCCTAGATGGGACGAGTATTAACTCTATCGCTCTTTAACTGACAACCAAAGTCCCGCAGCAACCTGGTCACCAAAGTCACGCATTAAGGGAGATGGATCGCGATAATCAGGCATGCGGACAAGGTTCTCCTGGAGGTTCCAAAAGCTTGTACCGCCGGCTGCCTCGCTCGTCAGGCAATAACATCCCATAAATCTACGTGCATGGGTGACACATCGCATGTCGCATTAAACGGTTGGCGGACTGAACTTTGGTGATGAGATCGCAGTAGCGACCTCGTCTTCCAGTCCCATGATGTCACCCGCGTAGAATTAAGAATATCGGGCCTCCAGATATTGACGACAAGAGGCCGCAATCGAGATGGCCTGGCATCATTGGGTTGGATTTACCCCTTAAAACGGTGGGAAATTTCACACGTAGCGACCAGCAGAGGGATGCAGCTGCGTCAAAACAGGCATGGCGTTACCTGCCCTTCCGATGTGGCGGTCATCATCCCCGGGAAATGACGCGGTAGCAATGCGGCGGTGACAATGCGACCGGCCCAATTGGCACAAAGTCAAGCATACCGTTGTGCTTGTTTCCAGGACACGGGCTGCCTGCCAGGGTCGGATTCATCTTTTAGGCTCGCAATGCCAAGTCGTCACTCCGGCTCCCACATCGCGAGCTCTGCCCACCATCACGGCCGCCAAGCGCGTGAATCATGACGTACAAGATTAGCATGCAGCGTCTAGAATGTTTTGTTCTTCCTTGTGCAAGGGCGGGATTCAGATACAGGGAGCTTTGGTGCATTGGCTAACCCGAGTGCAGTAAATCGCGGTTAATTAAAGTGACATTGCGTCCACTCCAGGTCTAATCGCAGCCAGAATCAGGGCTCCGGGATCAAGTAGATATTTCCTTTATCCCCACCTTCTCGGGCAAACTAGACCAACCCTGTCCGTCCTCCCCGTAGGTAGCTAAAGGTTAATTTCCAATAACCAAATTCAAGATCCAGCCGCAGACATCATGAACGGAGCGCTACGAACACACAGCATGACATAAGACTGCTATTCGTACTATCACCACGCGTATTGTGGCTTGTTCATGCTAAACGACGGGGCGTATCTCAGTGTGATACAGCTTATTCTCACGATCGTACCTGCATAGCAAAATGCCTTAGCCTCCAACCGCTATTACGCCACGAGATCACATGCTCACTATTATGTACATTCTTCCTTCCTAGGAGCTCAGTGGCGATAGCATACTGAGGTGGTTTGTGAACATATCCCGTCTGTTGAGTGGAACCTAATGTTGCGCCAGATCTGGAAAGACGTAAAAGCACCTCACATCACACCCTAGCAACCAACCCGTATAGCGTTGGAATTGTCATTCAGCTGTCACAACCAGAAGGGGGACTCACGTAAGAACTCGTGTGTGTGTGTACGGTGTTTCCCTGCCTCGTAAATGTTCTACATTATTGCCACCTTCCGTCAGTGTTCCTACACAGCGTCATTGGAGGCCTGCCATCGTGCCCTACCCTATACCCACACTCACCGCGTATTGAAGCACTGTGTATATGCGTTACTTCGTATATGTTAAACACTCCTTTTATCTTGAGAGATACATGTGTGCCCGATGGTCAATTATCTTCTCGGCCACTTTTATCCTCTTGTCGCTAAAGTTGTTGAGTAAGTGTCAACAGCCATCAGCCGATATCTTCTCTTCTCAAGTGAATAAGCTTTGCAACAAACCAAGTTGCTTCCTACCATTTTGATCTAGCCAACACATGTGCCCAACTAAATAATACGAACTGAATCAACCCCTCCCAAGGTCAACTTTCCTCGCTAGCACCATTCCACTATCAACTGTATTGCCTCCTAACAACTCGGTCTCAACGTTGAAAAAGGGGGCAACAGCAGACCTCAAAACCCCCTCCCAGAATCCCTGGACAATATCTTGTAAATCTCCCCCCGTCTGCTTAAAGTCGGGGAACGCGTTGACCTCGAGCAACCACGGAGTACCCTCTGCGTCCACCAAGAAGTCCAACCCGTACACCTCGAATGCATTGGGCAGAGTCTGGAAATGAATCGGCATGGCCCGCGCTGCGCCCTCGAAGATCTCACCCGTCACCGCGCAAATGTCGGAGAAGATGGATTCCAGCTTCGCGGGGGGCAGCGGCAGGTCCCAGAATCGCCGCACAGTGTTCTCGCTGGGCGACGACTGTATGCATGTGTTGGTCAGGAACGACTCGATGTCACCGGGGCTGTCCCACGGGCTGCTGTAGGGCTTCGCCGCGAAGAGGGCCAGCATGTGCTTGTAGACGAAGACGCTGAGGCTGCCGCTGCAGGCAACGTACGTCCGGATGTGGAATTTCCGGTCGTCCCCGTCCACCAGGAGTGGTGGGTGGATGTATGGCTGCGCCACGAAGTGACGAAGATGGGATGTCGTGATACCGTCGCCGCCGGCGTCCTCGTCTTCCCCACCGCCCTCGTCATCGCTGTCCGGCTCCCCCTCCTCCCACTCGTCAAAGATGGCCTGAAGTTCCTCCATGGTGCTGAATAGTCGTATGCCCTGTCCCCGGTCACTCATGCCGGGCTTGAGGATCCACCATTGTCTCTGGCTGGCCTCTTCGTGTGACTCGTTCTGATCGAGGCTTTCCCGAAGATCAAAGGCCTCTATTAGGGCATCGTCTAGGAACTCGGCGAAATCCACCTCGAATGCCTCGCTTCGTTTGACATGCTTCTTCAGAACCGATTCAGGGCGCTTCGCAATCCAGTGGTCTACTGTCGTAGAAAGGTAATGCTTCCGTATTAAGGCCTTCCGAATCATGTAACTGTTGATTAAACATGACCGGGGATGCGATGCTGCAAACTCGAAGTCGATCTGCTCGTAGGAGGTGACGGATAGGGCCCTTGCGTCAGGCCTCGCAAGTACTTGGTCGAGCCAGCTTGCATCTTGCGAGTTGGGCACGTCTACGATCACATCAACCAGACCTTTGGGAAACACTGAAGCCAGAGCAGCAAGAATCAGGGGCTGTATATAGGGATCTTCATATGACACGATGGCTTGGAAAGTCTGGCCCTGCTCGCTGTGCCGAGGTTCCTTCACTCTGATGGGCAAAGTCTGTACTGCCATTGCTTGTTGCCTATGTTTATAGAGTGAGAATTTGGTCTATGGATGGCTCAATAATCTAATGGCAAACCGCTCGCAGGAAAAGCCGCCCGAAAAGCATAAGCCACCAAACAAAACATGCTAAGAATACTTACAGCTGAAGTTCCTTCTGCCCTGAAGCGGCCTGAGTGAAGGCAAAGTTGGCTTTCATTGGAGTAACACTTGATAATAAAGTCAGAAACCGCGTAATTTATAGCCATAGCGGAGTGGGAAACTTACCTTGTATACCCTTCTTTGACAGCCCAGCCATCATTTCCAGGGGGAGCTTCCTCAACACTCTTGTAGACACCGGCAAATTTGGGTGCCCACTTGAAATGCTTATGCTTATGTCCTTTCTTCGCCGAAGGGGGAGGTTCTTCACCAGTAACTTCTCCCAACGATCCCTCCCGGATCTGCTTCTCCTCCTCGTTTTCATCACAAGCGTCGGCTTCAGTTTCCTGGAAGCACCCTCCGCCTTGCCAGTAATTCTGCAGAATGTCGGTAAATAATACCTTCTTGTCCTCAACACCCTCAATGAGAGGCACGTTTACGCTGTAAAGATCCGCGCTGCCATCGGTGGGCCACTGCTTGTACAGAGCCTCGACAACCTTAACGCTCCGGCGGCACGCCGCTTCGATGATGACGGGATCATGGTTTCGGCTGAAGAAGGCGAAACTTAGAGCAATGGCCTTGTGCCGGCAAACGGCAGCCTCGAGTGCAGCGCCCATAGTTCCCGAGCTCAGTGCAAACACAGCAGTTGTGTTTCTGCCATAGTTGGGGCCGCTCACGACCAGATCGATCGGCCCCCGGTCCTGGAAGAAGTGGTAAAGCCCAATCTGAACACACGATGCAGGCGTGCCGTCAATTAGAACCCACTCCTCGACATCCCCAGAGGCAGACGGGCGAGGATGAGTGCTTCCCAGAGCATCCTCGCCGTGCAGCTCCTTTGAAGGACGGTAGTAGGTTGGCTTCAGAGTCTGGCCAATCATGTGGGCTTTTCCAATCCATGATCGTTGGGTGTGTGGCAGGCAAACTGAGACAGTGTGACCTGCATCCTGGAGTTGCTTTATAAGACAGCGAACATATGGCGAGGAATCTGGCGATGGAGGTCCATCATCGTTGGTGACGAGAATATGCATGGTAAACAAAGTCGAGGATGGCGTTTGGAGGGAGATGTCACAAACTGGAGCAGCTCAAAGACCCAGAACCGAACTCCGCGACCCTTCTAAGTGAATTCCTCCCGAGCTGGTATTTTCGAACGCCGAGCACCATGTAGGCCTGGAAGATGGGCAATGTGTGGTTGACGTGATTTAGAAAGTTGTTGAGCCAAGGAGGGGCAAACGTGGGGCACCAAAAAGTTGGAACCCGATATGTGCCGCTCTCTTTGAAAGCAATAGCAATCATCTACATAGCGGAAGCGAGGGAGCGAAGGGGACTGTATAATTCAAAACAATGCGAAAACTTTATTATTGTCTGAAAAAGTAAGCCGTGATATGACTTTGACACTATCTATTTACCCTATGGAAGCGCTCATCTGAGGCGCAGACAAAGCAACCTGTTCCTTCCCGTCCCAACGCCAAGCACAAAATCCTGCAACATCCTGTAAATACAACGAGGGGTGAAGCCTGAACTCAAAAAAGTAGGTAATAACTGTCAACTTTCAAGAGTGACGTAGAAGAAAATAAGCCAAAAAGGCAAATAAACAAGGAATCCATGTATTCCAGAGGGAATCCTAAAAGAACCACACACCGTGTTTCCCATTTATCATTATCCGTAGTACACCGATGCCTCAAGCGCGGGCTCGCTTCGTCTGCTCTTGGGCAAGGTCATCTCCCTGGCGTTTGACTGTACGTGGTGCCTTGACATTCTTCTTAGCTACCCGCCATGATTCAAATGGACTTGACCTGCTGGCCTTGATTGGAGTGTCATCGGCGAGCTTGTTCATCGAGCGAGTTGTCCGTTTGGTAGCTGGAGGCGATACGGGTCCGAATTTTGGTGCTTCTGGGGTCTTCCCGCGCCCGGTCTCGATCCTAGAGGGTGTTGCTGGGGCATCTAATTCCTCTTCGTGCAAGTCCTCTACGTCTGTTGCGGCCTCTTCGTCCTCTATAGATGGTGCCGGCTTCTCTGACTGGAACAACCGGCGAGGCTTGATAGCAGATCGGCTTAGTGGGCGAGTAAGATGGGCGGATGTAGTGGAGTCAGCTTCCTCTTCGTCGTCATCATTGACTTGAGAGTAGGGTCTGAAGAAAGTTTTCCCACGGCTGAAAATATGTGAGCTTTGTCTTGTGAATGCGGGTTTAGTACAGGTGCAGATCACTTACAATGAACAAAGCATTCCGTCGTCGCGGCGAGCTGCTTCCTCAAGAGTTTGCATCCCAACGCCTGGAACTCTGACCATCTTTTGCTTGTTGCGACGCCTAGCTGGCTCCGTTGTGGGTGCGGAATCACCGTAGAATGGGTTCGAGAGGCTGTCATCCTTCACAGGAACTCGATCTTGCGAGTCGGTGAAGATGGCAATGGGTTCCTCAATCGTCTCGGCCGTAAAGCTCTCCATGGTCAAACCGGAGTACTTCTTGGGTCGCCTCGTACGGCTGCTGAGCGCCGAGTCGTCTTCAGAGCCAAAGAGGTTGCGCTTGAAAGTGTCGATATCTGCTTGGCCAGCGGTAGCGGGCTTCCGAGGTGTCTTGGTTGGGGTGAGAAGCATGCTTGCGGAAGATGAGGCAGTTGCCTTTGATGTTGAAGGCTCTAACTTGTGCTTCAGACCCAAGGCGGCAGCTGCTTTGGCAGTTCCCTCTACAGTCAAAGGACCAGATGCTCGGCGTACAGAATCAGCGGCAGGTTGGCGCTTCTTCCTAGGGGACATTTCAGGGGATTCTTGGTCGGCACGGTGCTTGCGCGGCGACGATGGGTGGCGTGAAGCTCGGGGAGAAGGGGTCCTGTTGGTGTTGCGCTCTGAGATTCTGGCAGATTTGCGTGGTGAGTAGGGTTCCCAGCTGTCATAATAAGCGCCGTGACGAGGAGCAGGAGGTGTCTGCGGGAGATCAGCCGCAGGTGACGGTGTGGTCGCCATGGTGAGATTTGCACCGGCAGAGAAGTGAATCTGAGAGGAAGGTGAGAAGGTCCCGAAGAGCAAGCGAGTCCTTGTGTATGCTGGTGTTGCTAGGTGCCGTGTCGTTGCGGAAGAACTCTGTGCACCGCCTAAGCCAGACCAACAGATGTGTAGAATCAGCCAAAATCAATCAATATTAGTGCGTCCGCTAAATTTTTTGAGTGCAGGATAGAAAATAAAAAGAATTGAGCAATCTGATAACGATTGAATAGTGTATAATTGCAAGTCAATAGATGGTTTGGTTGCTGAGCATGCAATGTTGAGTTGTTTGGAAATGGGAGGTAAAGGGTAGGGAGTTGGCCGGGCTGGACATTGTCGTTTGAATCCAAGGGAACTCAAGGGAGGGGGCTGGTAACAGGTGTCGGGGAGTCGGCCCACTCGCGTGTGCTGGCCAGACGCTGGTTGCCAGCCTCCTCCACACGACCTGCTTTACGCGCCCCACATGCGCGCGTGAGTTTCGCGTCCAAAGGTACCACGCGTCTCTAAAGTGCCGACGCTAGAGCTACAGGGTACAATGCCCCTCAGTTCACCGTTAGAGTGCTTTTGTTGTTTTGCAATACATTCTTTATGCGGTGGAAAACATCAAACAAAGCGACGTCACCCCACCATTTCCAGGCCTATCCGACGACACCCTGCTTGCATCGCTGCCTATCCATTATGCACTGCGTCTAATTGCCCCCGATACGAAAAATAATAATACACTGCCAAAATTGAGGAGGTGTTCCTCGGTCAAAAGTCATATCCAATGGCGGACGAATCCCAGTATACAGAATCGGACATCTGGACCTCTCCAAACCATAAAACACCGCTAGCCGAACGGCCCAAGACACCCAAAACGCCCAAAACGCCCAAAACTCCGACGGCCCATTCCGAACGACGGGCAGAACCAGTTGACCGTGATGCTGCTCTTCGCAAGGAACTCGAAGGAGTCCGTAGCATAAATGAATCGCTGGAAGGTGTCATTGCGACTTTGGAGCGCGCGGGAGGGAACATGAATGTATGCTGCATTTGCCGTCCTCGTGCGTTCCCGGTGCTAACTTGCCCTGCCACAGACCGTATCCCAGACCGTAGCGAATGCATCTACCCTGCTCAACACATGGACCAGAATGCTGTCACAGACGGAGCACAACCAACGATTAATCCTACATCCAAGTTGGAAGGGCGCTACCGAAGATCTGGCGGAACAGGAAGCGGAGGCCCTCCGCAAGCAGCAAGCCGAGATAAGAAAAGCTGCCGAAGAAGAAGAACGAAAGCAAGAGCTGCGCCGTCGTCGCGAAGAAGAAGAGGAGAAAAGGAGATTAGGTACCGCAACCTCGACCCGAGGATCACGAGGCATCGCCGGTAGTCGTGGGTCCGTTCGAGGTAGGACGAGGGCAAGTTCTATCGGGAGAGGAGCCTCAAGCTCTTCGACGACTGCGGGAGCAAGCTCTAGCAGCCGTGGTACCTCGAATATAGGCAGGGGGTTCGGCACGACTAGAGGTCGCTCAAGAGGCGTGAGATAGGTAAATAATTTGGGCCACGCCACCGACATGTATATTTTCTTCCTTTTTCGATACCCCAATCCTCGCATTCATTATTCCATATTCCTGACCTACTTCTTCTTGAAGAATGCGCTGAGTTTCATCATCCCGGCCGTGTTGACCTTCTTGAGCTCTTTCGTAGCGCGGCTTTCGCTTGCCTTCTTCTTCTTTTCCTCCTCAAGCTTGCGCTTCTTTTCGGCTCTGGCCTCTTCCTCCTCTGCATCAAGTCCGCGCTTCTTGGTGTAATCGCCTATAGCTCTGGATGTAGCGGCCTCTGCACGCAATTTGGCGAGTTCTGTAAAATACGCATCTAATGGTGCGAAATCGATTCCGCTAGTAGTCTGATCTGCGAGGGAACTCGAAAGCTGGGTCGCCAGGCTGGCTGTAAGGTAGCGTGACGAGATGAAGCTAAAGGCGGTCCGGAGTCTCTGCAAATTAACAATGTCATCCGAGACTTTGACTGCGCTTACACCATCGTCGTCGTCATCCACAGACGTTGCTGCTGTCGAAGCCTGTGAATCTGCCGATAGGTCAGACTGAGAAGTGGCCGTCGTAGACTGCGAGTCTCCCGACTCGGCCTGGGGAGTTGATTCTCCAGATCCGAGTCCTTTCTCTGTGCTGGGTTTAGCATGCTTTGAGTCGGAGGATCTCTGGCTTGACACCTGCACTGGTGCCTCCAATGCTTTGGTGACAAACTTCTCCTCCATGCTTGGCGCAAGACCACCTTGACACATTTTCCTGGCTTTGCTCAGTATCACAGCAAAGAGCTTCTTTTCATTGAGTCGGAACATTATGTCGCCACCCCCGTCAGTGGAATCGCAAACTGCCGCCATTCGGGATTCTAGGAGAGATCGCGTCCTCTCCCACCGGAGAATCTCAGACATGTGGGATTCTTCAGTTTCGAGTTTGTCCAAGTGGTCGTAGATGGTCATGAACAATCGCCGTTTCTCCTCGCCCTTTCGAGAAGAATCAGTGTGAAGCAACGCAGGCAGCACGAAGAAGAGAGGGTCGATAGTTGTAGCAACATAGAGGTCGGCACTGGAGGCAACCTGTCCATTCGAATTGTTGGTCTTGCTCGTATCTGAGACGTCCTCGACACCACTGCTCTCGATGAGCCAGCTTCGCGGCATGGATTTGGGCGCCGAAATCTTTGTAAACTCGTATATACCAGTCGTAGGGCATACTAGATATCGAGAGGGTTTCGCATTTCGAGGGTTGGGGAGGTTTACGATCCGAGCATCCTGTGTTGCCTTCTTGGGTAAAATGAACATTGTAGGAGGCTTCTCATTTTTTGCCCCGAGGGGGTACTTCGGGGCGGACGATTTTAAGCTTGCTTCCTTTTTTGTCTCCGCTGAATCGTTCTTTGTTGATCTTGTTCGAGCCATGCTGTCTGGGCGGTAGCTGGAAGATAATTAAATGCTATGAAGCTTCTTTAACCGATTGAGTTGATGAGGTCTGAATAGGTGACCAAGAAAATATTCCAACGGTTATAAAAAAGACCAAAATTAGAAATGAAGAACAAAAAATACAAAGCAGATCAAACGAATGAAGTTCTCTTTCTCATGTCGGAGCGAGATGCGTAGTTGCGCCAAGTCGTTGCGCCAACTTTCTTAATTACTGGTGGCGCGTTAGCGGTAAAACGCGCTAGTTGACGCGTTGAGCGGTCAATAGCACTATCGCTTTATCCTGTCCAATAGGCTTCCTGCAGAAGAAGCCCACAATTACTATTGCGGCTGGGTAGCAATTCAAGCAAATGCATCATTTTAGGTATTCCTGAAAATCGGTACGTACTAGTGCTGTATCTTTTGCGACAGAATATATCCGACTCCGATATCCAGCTTTATTATTCCAAGGAGGCGAGCTGGCTCGCCTGGGACGCCTTGGGTATTCCTGATCGTCAGGTCTAAGGTGGGCTCTGGCCACTGGCAAACCTGAATCAATTTTCGAACAATATCCCCATTTCGCATAAACGACAGCTAAAATGCCACCTGGTAGGTAGAAGTTCAGGGAAAAGGAGATTCGAGATGATGGAAGCTGATCTAAGCCGCCAAACCTTTAGGACGAGCACCGGAAGTGCAGTGGCCTCCTCGATCCCCGCGCGATGCCTTGTTGAGCACACCCGGCGGCCGAAGCCGGTACCAGCAAATGCTTAGCGAAACATCTCCAACCTCTCCGTCAAGAACTCGACAGAGAGCCGCATCGCCTTCTCCTGGAGGAGATGCCATGGACATCGACGACGACGACGATGAGGAGACGCTGCAGCTGAAACTTCAGGAACTCCAGGCCAAGCTGAAGCTGAAGAAACTGCAGAATGCCAGGGCAAGAGCCTCTGGCGTAGCTGCTACACAACAAATGACCCAAGACCTACATTCAGGTTTCCTAGGGGAGCATCGACAAAGCCCAGCTGGACCCATGGTGTTCGGAGGGTCCATCCAGCCGACGCCACAGAATGAGGTTTTAGTGCCGGTATCACCAATAAGGAGGCGTCAAGAACCTCCACCCCAAACGTCACCGAGGCGGGTTCAGTTAGGCATCGACAAAGGGCTGAAAGCTCGTGATGTGTCACTAAAAAGGGCACCAGTCTTCAAGAGGCAGAAAATCGGCAACGAGCATGGTCAGTCGGATGGCTATCTACGCACGTCGAGATCATCAAGTGTCTCTGGCGGATCATTCTCAATACCCGCACGGCCATTGAGCTTCAGCGAAAGAATGGCCGGGGCGAGGTCACAGGAAGTCCAAAATGCCGAACGGAGACAACAAGTTCAGACATCTCGCAGCGAGTCTTTTGGCATCGGAAGGGAAGAGATGGAGAAATACAAGAGCTCCGCCATTGACATCCCTGATGAACCTATGAAAGCTCCTTCTTTTAGTAGAGACGAGGTGTTGTCGAAGAAATGGAGTGCCTCGAGCGGTCTCAAACGAAGCAATACAACGACGGGTGTCGTTTCGGAAACGAGAAAGGATAGAAGACTTTCACACTCAATGGACATGTCATCAAACAATTCAGAAAGTGAACCGGCATCATTCGAAGCTTTCTCTGGATATCACCTCTCACGAAGAATCCTCCCACACACGGTGCTTGCGCGGCATATCTCTGGGAAAAAGGTCATGAGCGTGAAGGACTTGTTGAGAAACGTCAAGGCACCGGACTTTTCTCTTCCTGATGTTGAGCAGGACATTGTCGTTTTTGGCATAGTGGCTAAGAAGTCGGAACCGAGAGCGCACAAAGCAGCTCCCGCGAAAAACGGCTTGAAACCTGAGGACCGGGGGAGCTACATGGTTATCAACATTGTCGACTTGGATTACGAAGTTGATTTGTTTCTTTTCAACTCGGGCTTTGCCAGGTTCTGGAAGATAACTGAGGGTACTGTGGTTAGCATCCTCAACCCTACAATTATGCCCCCGCCGCCCGGAAGACATGATACCGGACGGTTCAGCCTG